GACCGACCGACCGACCGACCGACCGACCGACCGACCGACCGACCGACCGACCGACCGACCGACCGACCGACCGACCGACCGACCGACCGACCGACCGACCGACCGACCGACCGACCGACCGACCGACCGACCGACCGACCGACCGACCGACCGACCGACCGACCGACCGACCGACCGACCGACCGACCGACCGACCGACCGACCGACCGACCGACCGACCGACCGACCGACCGACCGACCGACCGACCGACCGACCGACCGACCGACCGACCGACCGACCGACCGACCGACCGACCGACGACCCGACCGACCGACCGACCGACCGACCGACCGACCGACCGACCGACCGACCGACCGACCGACCGACCGACCGACCGACCGACCGACCGACCGACCGACCGACCGACCGACCGACCGACAGACAGACAGACAGACAGACAGACAGACAGACAGACAGACAGACAGACAGACAGACAGACAGACAGACAGACAGACAGATAGATAGATAGATAGATAGATAGATAGATAGATAGATAGATAGATAGATAGATAGATAGATAGATAGATAGATAGATAGATAGATAGATAGATAGATAGATAGATAGATAGATAGATAGATAGATAGATAGATAGAGAGAGAGAGAGAGAGAGAGAGATAGAGAGAGAGAGAGTGACAGAGAGAGACGGGATGTGGGGAGGGGGGCGGGTAGTGGTCGGGCGTACAGCGATATTAAGTTAATGTACACAAACTCTATGCTTTGTTTATATGGAAGTATGATATTGAAAATTCAAGGAAAATTGACTGCAATAAACATCTTTGTTTTCCAGCGTGTATAAGAAAGCTCACATATGAACCAAAAGATCTGCAGCTCATTCCAGTCTGGGCTGCGTTTGTCTACACCATGTACTCACGCCAGACAAGGTAGGCAATGATTCCAAGCCCTCGCGAGATAACAAAGCCTCAAAGAATTCCTGGCACCTTGGTAAACATAAGGTGAACAATATCTTTGCGATGTGGAACGACATCAAAACACCCGAGAGAACTTAATATCGGTCAAAAGCCATTTTTGCTTTCTAACGGAGAAACGGTAGTAGACTTCAGAAATTGTGGAACAAAAATAGACTAATTAACAGGAAAATAGTCACCATATCTATTATCTTGTTGAGCTATTATATGTCACATAGGCTTTGCAGTCTATGCCTCCATTCAGTTCTACCTTGTAACGTCTATTCAGTATCATAGGTGAAAGCTAGTCCAGCGCCTTTGGTCTCTCTTATCAACGTTCCTCTTATGGTTTCTTTTGGAAGTGACTTGCTTTCTCAGTAACTTTATTTGTAATGTGTATGCCTGTTTAGGTCATCATTTCTATCTTTATATTTCCTTGACTATCAAAATTACTACCTTAATCAACAAATTGATTAACCGTTTTATTAAAAATGACTAATCATTTTACTCATTAAGGTAGTAATTGTGATATATATATATATACTTAGTCATAAAAAGCAAAGTGAATATGTATTGAAAGAAAGTTGGAAGAATTGTAACAAGTCAATCCACATTATGTCTCTTTACTCACATCACTCAGCTACTAGTTTTATATTGTGCATCTGTATGTGTGTGTGTGTGTGTGTGTGTGTGTGTGTGTGTGTATATATACACACACACACATTTATCTTCTGCCTAGCTTTGAAATTAGATCCTAGCCACTTGGAATCGAAAATTTCCGCCACACTATGTCCAGTATCTTCCAAATTTAGAACCAAAAATCTTCAAAATCTTGAAACAAAAATCTTCAAAATTTAGATCCAAATACTTTCCTGACCCAGCGCTCTCTCTTAACCCCCCCCCCCCCCCCACCCCCAATCCCCGTATTTTTTCAGTTCTTCCCTGCCAAGAACCACAGATCTTCCTAAAATGGAACCAAATACGTTCCCCACGGAGCACCAAAACACCATCTTGCCCACTCTGCAAAGACCAGAAACAGCCGCATGTCCTCTAGAGGATGATACAGAACCAATCGGGGCTATCTATGACAGGTTTGACTTCAATGGTTTGCCACACGGCTGCTTAAGTGTCTGTTCTAGACACCATTGTTGAAACCAATGCAAGGCGGTTTGCTGTCAAATCCTCAGCAGCTGGGATCGAACCCGGATCGAAGCGCGTTCAGTGCGCTTAAGCCACAGGTGCGGACTGAATGAAATACCTGGGACATTTCCCAGAAAGATTTACTAAGCAGACACCCCACAGGGAAGACATTTTCTATCCCTTTGAATGTGTCTCGACCCCGCGTCTCGACTTGCTCACAGCAAAACAAGTCATGGACCACCTCGACCGTATTTGCTGAGATCGTTCGCTGTGCTGAAACAACAACTTCATGCATTCATGGCTATTTTTTCAATAATAATTCAAAGACATTCTTCTGAAGAATATAAGAGCTCAAAGCATCACCAGGATCTAAAGGAAGGGAACCAGTCAAGCTGAAAAAAAAAAAAAAAAACAGGCAGCTTCATGTGCGATAGGCGTATCCGAATAAATATTGAATGTTGACTTGGGGGGTAGAGAATGCCTATTCGCTAAACTATAATTAAAGACAACGAGAATAATTCTGCAACATCAGAATTGTAGGTTGAACACAAGCCTGTCCATGCTACGAGAAGGATATAAGAAATAAAAGAAAGGCGCCGTATTTGCCAAGTTTGAACATAAAAAAAGGGAACAAATATGGGGGGGGAGGGGGGGGGCGTAAAATAAATATGAAGCAGTGAATCCAGGATCGGAGGAAAATCACGGGTTATTGTCACGTGATTAAAAAACACAGCTATATTCCAGTAGAGATAACATATGCCCTCGACAATAGTTTCGGATATAACATCGAACAAACATTATAGCCTGGATATTTATATATAAGACAACTGTGAAATCAGAGGTTAGAGGGAAATATAATGTACACGAGAGGTTTTATTAATAAACTACAAACATTCATTAACTGGTGCCTGGGCAGAATAGAAGAAATTAAATGGTATGATATAATAACTAGGGCTGTACCGAATATTCGCTTCGTATTCGCTTCGGGGCCGAATAGTGGACCTAATAACTATTCGGTATTCGGCTGAATACTTGCGGTCGGGCCGAATACGAATAGTGGTTACCTTACACCCGCCTCTGCATACACTGCGATGGACTGAAATAACTCTCATTAGCACAATAGTTTCTGTTGCCCAAGTCAGTTGAAGCGGGGAAAACTGTTAGCCTCGTAAAGTAAGCACTTATATTTGAAGGCAATGCGTTCATTTTTTTTGCTCGTGTGTGTGTGTGTGTGTGTGTGTGTGTGTGTGTGTGTGTGTGTGTGTGCGTGCGCGTGTGATGACCACTGGAAAGATCTGTGGAAAGAGGGATAGGGGAAGACAACAAGATAAGATTCTAAGTCAAGTAAAGGACCCGTTTCCACGCCTTTGGGCATATAGGGCATATAGGGCAAGGTCTACATTTTATAGACCATTCGGCACAAGATGGGTGATGGCCTTTACTTCCCGGGACTGCACGCGGTACCCACTCAAGGCTGGGTCGACCAGGAAGCCAAGGTCATTTTTTTTAAAAAAAGTCCGGCATCGCCAGAGCGAACCCACGGCCTTTCGATCCGCAGGCGAGCGTCTAGTGGCTACCCCACGGCGTCTCCAATTCATGCGATTGCAAGTGAATTATTGTATTATTTTTGTACCTTTAGCACATTCCTTTTATTATAATTATTATCTTAAACTATGATTAATCTTCCTGTGCTCCCTCACACCCCCCTCCTTTTTTTCTCCTTTTTTTGGGGGGGACAAAGAAAATATGTAAGGCTACCGCCCGCGTCCACCGCCCCCACATCCCGTATGCTCTCTGTCGGCGCCTGGTCAACCATCACATGCCCAATATGCCACTGGTGCGAAATTTAACCCAAAAAAAGCTCCTTTATTTCGCACTTGTCTATGGAATGGGTAATGGCTGTGGAAGAAGTCACAGACAGACAAGACTAACTATGGAATGGGTAATGGCTATGGAAGAAGTCACAGACAGACAAGACAAACTATGGAATGGTTAATGGCTATGGAAGAAGTCACAGACAGACAAGACAAACTAAAGATCGCTATTTTAAGAAGGTCACGCACTGGACTTGCAGGGACCTCTAACATTAAAGACAAACAGATCGATACAAGAATGGAATTATGGCTAAATGGTTGTTTCGCTGGATGAATGGATCAATGGATGGATAAATTGATGGATGAATTGCTGGCTAGCTGGGTGAATGGATGAATGGATAGATGAATGGATGGATGAATGAATGGATGGATGAATGGATGGATGAATGGATGGATGAATGGATGGATGAATGGATGGATGAATGGATGGATGGATGAATGATTGGATGGATAAAAGTTTTGATAAATAGCTGGCTAGCTGGGTGGATGGATGGATAGATGAATGGGTGGATGAATGAATGGCTGGATGGCTGGCTGTCTGGATAGATGGATAAATGGACGAATGAATGGACTGATGAATGGATAGATGAATGGATGAATTGATGGATGAAATGATGGATAAATAGCTGGCTAGCTGGATTGATGGATGGATAGTTGAATGGAGGGATGAAGGGATTAATGAATGAATGGACGGGTGGATGGTGGAATGGATAAATGGATCGCTGGATGAATAGGTGGGTGAGTGGATGGATGAATGGCTGCCAAAAAAAAAAAAAATACATTGCTGGCTTTAGTCACACGCCATTCCACACGTTCGCTGATACCCTATCACAACCAGAATTTGCAACGGAAGTCTACAGCCGGTAAACGTTAAGAAGAAGAATTACCTTCACAACATACAGCTGCAGACCTTCACAACACACAGCTGCAGACCTTCACAACACACAGCTGCAGACCTTTACAACACACAGCTGCAGACCTTTACAACACACAGCTGCAGACCTTTACAACACACAGCCGCAGACCTTTACAACACACAGCTGCAGACCTTCACAACACACAGCTGCAGACCTTTACAACACACAGCTGCAGACCTTCACAACACAAAGCTGCAGACCTTTACAACACACAGCTGCAGACCTTCACAACACACAGCCGCAGACCTTCACAACACACAGCCGCAGACCATCGCCACGCAGATTTTCAAAGTTAATCAACAGAAGAGAAAAACCGCTTTACTTCCTTTAAATTTCAAAAATGGGAAATAAAAACCTCGGATTATCTTCCCGGCTTTTCAAGGTCCTTAATAGCGGTAGTTTCGTTTTCCATAGCAAGTAAACGAAAAAAGAAAGTGCAGGAGAGACAATTTGCGCCTATTTATGACAGCATTGTCACATGTAAAGATGGGTGCTCTCTATTATGAAAAATGAAATGCAATTGAAATTACCAATATGAAGTGCTTATTTCATTTCTTAGTTCCTTTTATCGCCATGACATAGGCATTTAAGCATCATTCAAGAAAGAAGACTCAATGCCGAAGCTTGTCTCTGTCTAGAGTGCAGCTTTCAGAAGTAATGCTTGTGTCGCCCAATCTTTCGCTGCTTTTGTCCTTGCGAATAATAGAGTCTTTGTGTTGTCACCTGGTATTCTCTCGTGGAGTATGTCTCATTAGGTTTTGTCAAAGATAGTTAGTGATTAGCCTTGGTTATGAAGTTCTCTGTTCAATACAGGAACTGTGTTCTGTGTTGAGCAGGCTTGTCTGCGCGGGTTCTGCGAGGCTTATATAGACAAGTCTGTTTATCTTACTAAGACTTTTACGTTGTGGTTTAACACTGAATTCCTGTGCTTTAAAAAAAAAATCGTATTTCTTCATCTTCCCTTCTCTCTCTCTCTCTCTCTCTCTCTCTCTCTCTCTCTCTCTTTATGTATATATATGTGTGTGTGTGTGTGTGTATATATATATATATATATATATGTCAAGGTATGGATTATCTATAAAGGTTTTTTTTTTCTATTTTTACTGAATACTCCTACTATAATGCTGATATGTCAACATTACATGCTTTAAGTATAAAATATACTTGACGTGTGAAAGATAAGTATTTCTTCTTCTTTTTTGGTTCTCTTTCTTCTCCTTCTTCTTCTTCTTCCTCCTCCTCTTCTGTTCTGTTACCGATGCTGCTACTGCTGCGGCTGCTGCTGCTGCCCTTAACCAACTAACTCCAAGTCGCAACAAACTTTGCTGTCACATTCACCTCATTTCATGTCCTTCCTATCTTTTTCAGTTTAAAGATGTGGCTTTTCTGTGTGCAGTAAGAGATAGAAAGACTTTCTAGGAGAGATAAGAGGCAGGGAGAAAAAAAACCTTTTTTGTGGACCTTACCTGTGACAATCGTCTCATCATTCTTGAACAGCGTCGGCCTGTTGAGAACGGAAAAAAAAAAGAACTAGTCATTGCAAGTTGTCGATGATAAATACATGAATTCTCAATACATAAACAATTGATGAAATGGACAATCAATTTTCAAACAATGAAAAGATGAAAGAACAGTTGATAAGTGGACAATTAATGAATAAACAATGAAATGAAATAAAATGAGTAATTAACAATGAATGAATGAAAAATACATGAATGAACAATCTCTCTCCTCCTCTTAGCATTTACCGGTTGTAAACTCAGTGGAAAGATCTGGTTGTTCGTCCAGTTCTGTAATTCGCTTTTGTTTCAGATCTTTATTTTTGCGTGCTCATCTATTTTACAGATCTGGCTCATGTGTATGCGGACTATTTGTTCCTCGCATTTGGTGATGCATTCTGAATTCGAAGGAAACAGCCCTAAATAATCGTCTTTTACGACATGATTATTTTAGTCAACTGAATGGATCATAGATAAATACATAGTATTGACTTTCAGTATTTTAAAATAATTTACAATATTCTTCTAGTGGGTCCTGCCTTTCTAACAGACGGCCTTGTTTTCCCATTTTTTTTAAATTATCACTAAAATTAGTCGCTATGTAAGATGCAAATTTTTTTTTGTTATTTGAAACCCCACCCTGGCTTCTGCCGGGGGCCCTGAATAAAGCCCGAATTTGGCCTAGTCATAAATATGGTCTAACGGCTGAAAGGGGGTTCTGGGACCTCTCCGCAGGTGATACTCATCGGCATGGTGGCATTTTGTGTCACCGGGTGTTTATCGCTTGTGTGATGTCCTGGTGGGGTACAACTAACTACCTACCTGGTTTGGTTTTGTTTTTTTCTATTTTGTTTTCTTTCTGACCAGCACTTTTTTTAGCATTTTTTTTTTTTTTTGAGAATGATGAACACTTTGTGGGTAGTACCTGCATCATTTTAGTACACTTTGTGGAATACCGCATCCCCCTACCCCCCCCCCCCCCCTTTTTTTTTCTTTAGAAAAACAAAGACCCTGACGAAATCTCCTACAGTTACTTTTAGTTGCTTCGAATGTGACATTTCTCCCACACAGATGACCGAATGTTGAGAAAGACATAAACACAGACAGACAGGCCGACATACATATAAATTGACGACTGGACACACATACATAAATGAGAAAGTATGATTAACATTATCGTGTGATATGCCAATAAGCATAGATATGCATGGTTTACCATATGTCAGGATGGCCAGGCTCGGATCAAGTATGTGTACTTGCCTTACAGGTGTAATCTTGTCCGTCTATTCGGTAACCTTACATATGTCTCCCACCTCTCTTCTGTTATCCTATTTGTCAGAGAGACAGACAGGTATCGAGACATGATGGCAGCGAGGAGGCCTACGGACCGACGGATGGACCGACAAGACAGACAGACAGACCGATCGACCGACCGTCCGACCGACCGACCGACCGATCGACAGACAGTTAGACAGACAGACAGACAGACAGACAGACAGACAGACAGACAGACAGACAGACAGACAGACAGACAGACAGACAGACAGACAGACAGACAGACAGACAGACCCGACCCGACCCGACCCGACCCGGCGGGCGGACGGGCGGGCGGGCGGGCGGACGGACGGACGGACGGACGGACGGACAGAGAGAGAGAGAGAGAGAGAGAGAGAGATAGATAGATAGATAGATAGATAGATAGATAGATAGATAGATAGATAGATAGATAGATAGATAGATAGATAG